AAATTACAAATCAATCAATTCAATCAATCAATCAATCAATTAGCTTATAAAGCGCTATTTCCGCGATGTTCAACAGCGCTCCTCAATGAATTTTGAAAACAGATGGGTCTTGAGATCCGCTCTGAACTTCGCAAGTGATGGAGAAGTAGTCAGAGAAGGAGGTAGAGAGTTCCAAAGAAAAGGACCAGAAAAAGTAAAAGCAGATTTGGCAAAAGAGTGTTTAACACGAGTTAAGAAAAAGCAAGAAGAAGAAGACGATCGTAAACCGGGGCGTTTAGGTTCAATTAATATATCTGATAAATACTTAGAAAATAATTTAGATTGAGACTTATACATGAACGTGCAAATTTAAAAAATTATTCTATATTTTATAGGTAGCCAGTGCAAGAGAACAAGATATGGAGATATATGAGAAAAGAAAGGGGCACGAGCAACTAGACGAGCAGCAGAGTTAAAGGATAGAGTATAGAGTCAGGAAGACCATAGTAGAGCGAGTTACAATAATCAATCCTAGATAAGACTAACGAAGTAACAAGAAGGAGAAGAGTAGGATCATCAAGAAAAGGCAAAAGTTTTTTTATTCTACGTAGATGAAAGTAAGAGCTTCTAGCAACACTATTAATCTGAGAAGAGAGATACATAGTAAAATCAAAGATAAAACCTAGACTACGAAACTTATGAGAGACATCAAGAGTTTTAAAATCAGGTAAGATAATAGGAGGAATAGTAATAGAGTGTTTAGATTTATTAAAACAAATTAATTCAAACTTAGAAGGAATAAGTTTAAGACACATAGAGTCAGACCAAGCGACAATTGAAGAAAGACATAGAGATAAATTATGAAGAACACTATTGAGATTAGATGGAGGAAAAGAAGTATAAATGTAAGAATCATTAGTATATAGTTGACTAGAGAAAAAAAAGTTATTAATAATACGAGGTAGTTCAGAAGTATAGAGTATAAATAGAAGAGGGCCAAGGATAGAACCCTGAGGTACCCCGAATGTAAGTGTAGAGGAGTTAGAAGTAGAATTATTGAGAACAACAGAAAAAAACGATTACAGAGATAAGAAGAAAACCAAGATAGACAAGAATCAGTAATATTAAAAGAAAGATGCAGCAGTCTCAAGAGAATAGTATGGTGAACAGTATCAAAATCTAGCAAAGATAACAATAATTAAGAAAACGAATAATGTAGCGCAATTCTATCATTCCGGTTGTTATATCATATATATCCATGACTAAAGCTTTATTCTAAAGCTAAAAATTCATGGCATATTGGGAAAAATTGACAGGACAATTTCACACTTAATTTCCATAAAGTTTAATATAAATAACATATTTTGAAACCAAACAATTTTAGCCCACTTGATTTTGAAATTAATTTGTCAAATTTCAAGCGACTTCAAATTATATAAAATCATTCAATTGTCTTACTTTTTTTTAACAAATTTTCAAAGGAAAATAATTTGAAATGTACTTTGAAAAACCCTAACGGCAACACATCTTTCAAAATATAAAAAATAAATTAGTGAACATTATTTAATTTTCTTTGAATTATAACAAAGGATAGGTTTATGTTTGGTCACGTGGCATTTCGCGGCTAGCTTTGTTCCGAGTCGTTTTGCTGCTTTCTCGTTAAATAATCTAATAGAATTATCTGGTTATGGTATGTTTGCGATTCCGTTTTTAATCGTTCCATTTTCAAATCTATTTCATATATTTTTAATTTTATAATATGTGCACATCAATTTTCGAAACGCCCAATTATTACCGATTGCGTGTTTCACTGTTTAATTTTAATTTTGTTTCTGCTGTATTAATTTAGGCTGGTGGTAAAGCAGGAAAAGACACTGGAAAGTCGAAGGCCAAGGCAGTGTCCAGGTCAGCACGCGCTGGTCTTCAGGTATTATTTTGCAATTGACATTTTCATGCATGAACAAAAAGTTTTATAAACATACCATCCTTCCACATTAAAAATTAGAATTTATTACAGCTGTTTTTATTATGTTTTGTGTACAGAGCATAAATATTTTATTGCTAATATATTGTGCATGGTGTGATGTAAAGTAAATAAATTTTACTTGTAGCAGTTCATGCAACACTGGCTAGCAACAGCGCTAAACTAATAGTATGAGGCTACACCTGTGGTAAATACCACTGAGTTTATTTTTAAAAATGACTTTCCACTACAAATACCGCAGCACATTTATTTTACTTTGTTGGCATCAAATACCATTGCTTACCTCTGGAAATACCAGCTTTTTTTAATAGTATTAAAATTGAATATCATTGGGGTTGGAAAAAATTGTATTTTTACATTGAAAAACTGAAACAGATATGTTTGTATAATTGTATATTACTTTGATTTATTTGTTATTTTTATTACTTATTTATTAAAACAAATATTCAACATACTTCTAGAGAAACAAATTTTATCAGTCAATTAATTTTTACCGATGACAGTTGTTGCAAATTCTTTACAAATGTTCATAACAAACTTTTTTTACAAACTGCACATCAAGTTTTTGTTTCTTTGTATTTCTTCCTATCACACATTAACATTTTCTTTTAGTTGTTGTTGTTGCCCCACCTCAAACGTCGTTGTCAAGATCCAGACGGATCCGAAGCCAGTTGGCCACGGCTACAAGGCTGTGCCAAAGATCTATTACCTGAAGGATGTAGGGTTGCTGGTACAGCTGAACAAATGAGGGACATTGTCGGCATATTTTTGGCAAAATAGACATATGGATTTGTAGCTGCATTCTTCTCATCGCTCTAGGCAAACTCTCGACAATGCTTGAGTTTCAGACCTACAATTACGATTGTTTACATCACTATCTCTAATAGAGAGTTACAAAAGCACCTCCTACTAATATGCAGAAAGTTGATTGAGATTAAAATGGAAAAATTTTAAAATGTTTATTTCGTATTTAAATATATTAACGTAGTAATGTATTAATTAAATATATATGTTAAAATTTATTAAAATAAGAAGTCGTGGCCCAGGATTCACTGACGTTGTTGCCGTTAATAGAAAAGTGGATTGCTTCTGACATAACCATCGTGTCAAATGAGTGGCGTGCCTATAGCCAGCTGGGAAATATGAGCTACACTCATTTGACCATTCTCAAAATTTTGTTGACTCAGTGACAGGAGTACACATCCAAAACGTTGAATTCATGTGGGCACGATTGAAAGCCAAATTCAAAGTAATGTACGGTACATCGAGGTCCCTCAGGCACACTTACTTGGCAGAATTTATGTGGTGCAAATGGTACGACCACCGACCGTTCGCTAATATTATTCGACACATACGCCAAAAACACAATATTTGGTAAATAATTTGAATTATTATTAATTTTATATTGATTATATGTTGACCAGTGTTTTAAAAAATTTAAAGAGTTTTATTTACTAAATTTTGCAATTTTTGTTTTATTTTGTATAATACTAAAAATTTCTTCATTTTTTTTTTATTTTATTTGCTATCCAAGAAATTTTTGTTCTATTTGTAATTTATTATTAATGCAACATATTTTATATTATCATTATTTTGTGATTATTATTTTATATTGAATATATGTTGCTTAGTGTATTAAACAATTTAAAAGGTTTAATTTACTAAATTATATGTACAAATTATAATAAAAATATATAAATAAATTATAATTAAATAAAAATAATTTAATTGAAAAAACAAAAATTAAGTTAAATAACTTAATTAATTAAATAACATTGAAAACAATAAATCTATCTATACATGTATCTATTTTAATCTCAATTCACTTTTCGAATTTCAGTAGGAGGAGCTTATTTTACTCTCTAATAGAGATAGTGAATGTAAACAAACAACTAGGTCTGAAACTCAAGTTTTGTCAAACTCTCTTCTGTCTTGTTTATTTTTGGTGTCCGAGGAGGCCAACCATTGAGTAGCACCACGGCATGGTATTGCGGCCCTGTTATGTAACGTTGTAGATACTGCTTTTAACGTGATGCTGTTTATCATATATCCATTGGCAGCACCTGCTAAACCTCGTGGTCGTACTTTGAGTGTAGGGTCTGTTTTAAATCTCTGTACGGTTGAAGCTCTCTTGTAATGTGATGGCATGGGTTATTGCAATGTAATAGGAACTGAGACGAGAGGAGATTGGTATGCTGCATTTCGGATAACATTTCGCATTCTGATAGTTAATGGTGTTCCAATGTCGTCTTGTGGCATCCTGTTATTACCCGAATTAAATGTTAAACAAATCCAATTTACCATTTTCACAGGCCACACGACAAATAAAATATTAATCCTTTATTTTATTGGCATGGTAATTAATATGTATAAGAGAGAATGACTATTATAGTACACTAGCTCATTCAATTTTTTTCAATAAACATTTTACAGCACTGCAGCTCCCAAGATGATGCCATAATGTGCCAGTAATTTTAATATTTTTTTCCTAATTTTGTTTTATCTTGTTTTATTTTTTTGTTTTCATAATTTTGTAGTTCCTATTATTACATACTCAAAATCAAACACAGTCTAAATGGAAAAATCCAATCAAACCATATCAAGACATCAATCCAGAAAATAAATGGTAATCTTTGACTTAAGTATACTTTAAGAGGTAAGGTTGTAATAGTTTACTCCAGTCTTTTTAAGTTGACGGGTAACAGATTCAATAACCACACCAGAGACCATAAGCACCAGAAGCTGACGCCAGTACAAAGAGAGAAAACCCACCTACCGTTTGCCAGCCCCACAAACCAATGATCCCAATTCCAGTTTTGACTATTTAAGTTCCTGGTATGGCGTTTGAGCTTCCACCATAGAGGCCACCCAAAGACGGCATTCAACACAACTTTGAGAAGAATATAAAATTGAGGATAGCGTGGGCTGATTCTCTCCTAGCGGCACACAGGCTTCCACCATGGTATTTAGCCACAATAGATTCTCAAGGCACCTCGAGAAAAATGCAAAACTGCACAAATCCTCCCGAAGGTATTAAAGTCTCCACCATGATATTTAGCCACAGCAGATTCTCAACACAACTCGAGCAAACCGCACAGATGTAAAAACCCCATCATTGGCATTTGAGCCTCCACCGTGGTATTTAGCCACAATAGATTCTCGACACACCCCGAGGGGTTTTTAAGCCTCAACCAAGAGATATGTTTAAACCCCCCCTACAGTATCTGAGTCTCTACCGAAGTAGCTATCCACAGCAGATTTTCGACATACTTTCGGGGGAATGAGCCATCAATATGAAGCATGTCCACAGTAGAAAACCTGACATGCCACACAGGATGATTAAGATTTTTCTATTTATGTTGGTGAAATGCACAAAGAGAAAGCCACAGACCAGTAAGACCGGCAAACCAGCTTGGGTTCAACCCCTGAAGACAGCGCCACTCTCAGCACCTCCAGCCACAACACAATCATCGAATCCATATTCCCATCAGTTGTAGAAGACAAGTATCTTATATACCTAAGCTTCTTGTTAAAAGTTAATTGGCTCAATCCTCATTCTAGATCAATGCATCAACACAGTCCAATCAAAAAATCCCCCTTGACTGCATGATTTCAAGAGTTGTTTCAGTGAAATTTATATCACATCATAGTAATTAATCTCTTTTAGGTATTCTATCATTGAAATGATATTTTCTTTTATTTTCAAAATGTCAATTAGATTATCAGGCAAGGATAACAAAGTTCTTTTTTCTTTTGTTTTATTTCAAATAAATATATGTTTAATAGTTAATTTTTTATTACAGAATTGACATGTTGGAATTTCTTTTTTATCTAGGAGATTAGTGTGGCCTACCATGATTCTATTTATTTACTATAAATATGTTGTTAAATGTATTAATATTTGTTTTTGCAATGTTTGGTTGTATTTGCTGGAGATGTGTTTTTGTTTGGTCCCAGTCTGTTTGCCATAATGATTTTAGATATTTTACAATGTTTGGTTTTAAATCAGAATGTGGAATCACAATATCTGTTATGGGGATATGGTGAGCTTTTATTGCTAACATGTCAACCTTTTCATTGCCAAATATCCCTATATGACTGGGACTCCATACTATTTGGATATTACATTTATTTTGAATTAACTTATGTATTTTATATTTTTTATCAGTTCAATATTTATTTCTAATTGTTTAAGTGCAAGTACAGTTGACATAGAATCTGTCATTATGATATATCTTTTATTATTTTCATTTGTTAGCTGATCTAAAGCTAGATTTATTGCTTGAAGTTCTGCTTTATAAATTGATGTATTATTTGATAAATGTTGTTGGGTATATCGTTTTTCTATAATAACTGCAGCTACAATTGTAATTTGATTTTTTGTTTAAAAAGTCAAAATTTATTGAAAAAACAAAATCAAAAAGTGTTCAATAAGAACCAAACCAGCACCCAATCCGAAGTGAAGTTAGGGTAGAATCATTAATTTTGGATCCATCAGTGTATATAATTATGTAAGTCTTGTGATGAAATAGAAATTCATTGACTATTGTTTTAATTTTATTTGCATCTGTTAATTTGTTGTATTTTGTTAGGTAGGTGTTTATTGTTGGTTGGTTTATTTTACATGGAGCAAACATGTCTATTGATTTATTTAAAATATTCAATCAATCTTTCAACATTGCACTTTGGGGCTTGTTTAAACCAATTATGTAATTGAAACATTTAAAATTTTTCAGATTAAATGATGAATCTTAGTTCCTTGATTATAAATATTTTTTCATCAACATAGACTAGTTAGCTTTTTCATATAAAAATTTCATAAACTGTTTTGATTCTACATTTTTTTGTATTTTTATCTTATTCTTATATTACTCTGAAACCGTTAATATCAAGATTTGCTTTCTCACTTTTTTAATGTTCGAAATAGTTTCAAAAGCTGTTTGTTAAATTAATTTTGTATGTAGGTTATGAAATATGGTTACTTTGATTATTTTCTTTGTGAAAACTACACGAAGCTACTTATTGGGCAAATAGGGCGTGATAAACGTTTGCAAAATCGTTCAATTAAATTAAAATGTCAATACTAAAAGTATATGAATTTGCGAAAAGGTTGGGGAGTAAATCTGGTCCTAGGGTTTCAGAAAGTTTCTTTTTAATTGAAGATTGTGCTTGATTGATGAATGCAATTTGTTACATCACAAGCCATTTGAAAACGACAAAGAAGTTTTTTGGTATATCCAACTCTGGAAAAGCTACTAAATTATTTGAATTCATACTTAATGTGTTGAGTATACAAATGTGTTATCTAAGCGTGCTGTGCGTGGATGCTGAGTTTGTCTGCACATGGTTATAGAGCTACATTAAAATCTTTCAGACTATGAATTTTTGCAAATTTCTCTTATGCAGCGATTAATATTGCATTACATTTTATTTTAAAAAAACTAAAATCTCATATCTTTTCCTAAGCACTTAAGAATGATTCTTTTCCCCTAACAGTTTCCTGTCGGTCGTATTCATCGTCACCTTAAAACCCGTACAACCAGTCATGGCCGTGTGGGAGCAACTGCTGCTGTTTATAGTGCTGCCATACTAGAATATCTTACGGCTGAAGTAATTTATTTCGACTGTACGTGTTTTACTTTGTATTTAAAAAAATCATTTGTTAGGTATTAGAATTGGCTGGAAATGCTAGTAAAGATCTCAAAGTCAAGCGTATTACCCCACGTCACTTACAACTGGCAATTAGGGGAGATGAGGAACTTGATAGTCTGATAAAAGCTACAATTGCTGGAGGAGGTAATTTATTTTCAACATTTTTATTTTTTTCAGAAACTACAAACCAAACTATATTGTTCAAAATATTGATGTTATTCTGATATTTTTGTCCAAATACTAACTAGTGTATCTTGTTCAAAAAATATCTGCTTACAAAAATTTCTGCCATTTGAAATTTTTTTTGGTGTTAAATTCCATCAAATTGATTATTCAAACATAAAACCAAATAATCGACTTTTATTTGTAATGTAAAATGGTAATAATTTCTTTATTATCGTTGCAGGTGTCATACCACACATACACAAGTCCCTTATTGGAAAGAAAGGAACACCTCAAGCACCATAATGTTTTTATACATGTGGCTTGTGAAAGTCAACAATTTCTTATTTTTTTAATCGTCTAATTATGTTTCATAAGGATATTTCTTGTGCTCCATGAAATGGTTCACACAAATAAAAACTTGCTTTTCCTGTGTAGCTTTCCTGTAAATGTAGTTATCAACCTAAAATCGGAGGTTTAAAACAGCAAATAATATTACCTGCACATGTTTTAGGAAAGGTTCGACAGACTCTTTCTGAAGGAGCGTTACTGTGCATCCCCCAAATCCACCTCCTGTCATTCTTGAACCGAAAACTCCATCGACTTCCATTGCTAACTTGACTAATTCATCCAGTTCAGAACATGATACTTCGTAATCGTCTCTAGTTAATTATATTAATTATAAATAAATTTATTTGTGGTTATATTACCAAAACAGTTGGTGGTAATCAACGCTTCTACATGTCATCGAATCTTGAAAATATATTTGGGAAGATACTAAAATGAACGTTTTAAATTGGGTTACCGGCGTTGAAATATCTTGTTAGGCTGGATTTTTTTATAGTCGCACCACAAGAGGGTTTAATCAAAAACTGAAAAAACGTCAGTGTGGCGATTCCGGGTTCAGGCGCCCGGAGATTATTTTTTGAAATCGGACGTAGATTTACTATTTTTAATTTTTGGCGCTAGGCTTATTCAAAACAACCAGCGACTTGGACTTATGATTTAGATGTTGAGGTGTTAAGGAAGCCGTGCGTGGTAGTTCGAAGGGTTCTATTATAGGTGAGCGGATGATTTGTTATTTGGGATTTACAGTTCGTCTAAGAGGTGAATGCGTGGTCGTGAAACTAATCCAAATGTGCGAACTCAAACCAGCTGGAGAGCATTTGCGACTAAGTCAATGCCATTGAAAAGTTAAAATTAACGAATGGAACAAAATGAAAAAACAAGTCGGTTTATTAAGACGGATAATACCACGTCATAGTTTTTAATTTATTTTTCACAACCAAAATTAATTTTTTTTTATTCCAAGTTCGCTTGAATAAAACAAAAAATGGTCGTTATTCACTTCTTTCGGGTTATCACGTAGTGAGACAATGTTACGACTGATTTCTAAAAGAGAAGATACTGAGTGGACTCTTATATGGTGTATTAAAAAATGCGCTAGGTTCTATATAGTATTTAATATATGTAAATAAGTATCTTACAGACTGAGTAGAATGCCTGAGTAAAAATTATCAAACTTTCATTCAATTATTTGTCATTAACTCTTAATACAGTTTCTTTATTCACTGAAGTAATGCTGTTTTTTTCTTAACAGTTTGTCTTTCTGCGTGCAGACGCGCAGAAAAAATTAGTAAAAATCTTTTCCGAGACACTTAGTAAGCTTTTACTTTGCATGTGAAGTGGGATTATATAATGGCGTCTAATCTGAATTTAAAATGTTACTAATCATCTGCAGCAGCTGCTTGGTTATATACATGAATATGATATTGCATTATTTAAAAATTTTGCTTATTCGATTATTTAACATGTTCATGGTGATTTGTTCGTCATCATCTTCACCTCAAAGAAATGTTCTTTGTACTGTATCATCTTCACCTCAAATAAATGTTCTTAATTGTACTGTATTATTTTCTTTTCATTTAGTTCTCTTTTGACGGTCCCAATTCATCTCTATGTTTTGATATTTTATTTAACTCGTTGTTGGCCTTTTCGGTTGAGCAAAAACTCTTGCCACCCCTCGTCTTTCCACAGCTCCCTTTTTGTTTTTGATATTTACTGAATGGTTTTTCATTGATAGTTTTTACATTAACTCGAAAATACAGTTTTTTTTAATTTCATAATTGCAGCATTTCATAATGTCCTGGTTATGACAATGTCCTGGTTATGACATTAAACTGACCCTCACTGCCTTGTGAGTGATGTTGGATCATTAAAGGCTAGGCCCACCGCTTATAACTGTGGTTGCGTAAGGAAGGGCGTCCTGCGTAAAAATTAGCCAAATAAATTACTTATGATGAAATGGCGTCGAGGGGTATTTCGGTTTCATCATAGGTAGCCAAACGGCAACCCCCGATCTCGGGGAAAATGTCGTCTAAACGTGTGTTGTTGTTGTAATTGCAGCATTTCATGATTGCTGCAAAAAAATGAATATTAAGATATGCACTTTAATAAAGATTTACCTTTACCTCAGAGAACAGTGACTTTCAATCATCAACTTTCCAAATTTTTTATATTGGCCATTTTGAATAGCGTTTGCAGCTTGGACACACCTGCCATTTTCGCTGATCACGTGCTTTGCTCTTCTATAAGTGACGTCATCAAAAATTTCTTTATAGCCTTTAAAATAAAAACAAGATTTTATGAACTAAAAACTTGTTTAAAACATTACTTCAACTTTAACTAGGACAGTACCGAAAATCGACTACAGACGAAGCTTGGCCATCTTTCAAAATCCGACTTAAATCCAGCTCCGTCCAAAATTTTTTATTAAGAAGTCATTAAGACATTTAAAACTCGCAAGATACTTGCCTGTCAAATTCTTAAAAAACATATAGAGCAAAACTGTAGCCAAAGAACGGATGAGAATTACATTCCCATCAAATTTTCAATTACAGTATAAGATATCACTTAACACTTACGAAACAGATACGCGTAATAAAACTGAAACACTATTCGTAAATTCGAAAAACAAGAAATTCGTAAAATTTTTACCAAAATTAAATTTCTCTCTGGATTTAAGTAATTTATTAAAAATTAGCACATTTTTGTTTTAATATCAACGCGACATGAACCGTCGTTTACGGCTTTATTATTATCTATTTTCTACTGTGAAAAAACTTTATTTCTATTATTTTGTTAACAATTTTTTAATCATATCAAAACTAAATAATTCTCAAAAGATCAGAAAAGAAGTGTTTACTATTTAGCACTTTACTATTCATTTTAATAACCCATTTTATTTGGTATGTGTTAATAACTTTAATGAATCGAATAAAAGGTTATGATTTTCGTTGTGTTCAAACCAATGTTAAGTATTTTTGGTATCTAAAAATAATTTTCTTGGATTGTGTTGAACATTATCAAAAATGATTACATAGAATGAAAAAAATCTTCAAGAAAGCTAAACGGTTGCAAACCAAAATTTAGATGACGTAATTTTGGTTGAATTTTAATTGGTCTGAAACTTCAATCAATCGTCAATCAACTTTGTTTCTAAAAAAAAAACAAGTAGTCAATTTTTGATCAATTTGAAACTTCCGTAGTTAAGAAAGTGGTCTTTATGGATTTAAAAAAATAACAACCTAATCAAAATCTAATATTAAACATAGTGCAGATTGCAATGCCAATCATTTCCCGAACAACGTTTAAATTTGATACTAAAGAAGCTTTTCAACATTGAAAAGAATTAAAAACTTGAAAAAAAACTGTTTCAGTGTAAAACGGTACAGCTTTAGTTTTACTTTTCATTACAAGTAAAAAGATGTTGAATCTTTGGTTTTTAACCCTATCGAGGTTGATTGGCGAGTATGAAGTTTCAGATCAATTAAAATTAAACCAAAATTACGTCATCTAAATTTTGGTTTGCAACCGTTCAGCTTTCTTGTAGATGATTTCAAAAATTGCATTTATTTTTATTAAATCTCCAATGGCTTATATTAAAAAAACCCAGTCTCAAAATCTTGGCTACGGTTTTGCACAGGATCAGTCAAACAGGTTTATTAATAAGAGTTGTTAATGAATATAACAAATTTGGAGAGATGAATCTTTTATCATAAGTTGATAAACAATTTCTTAGAACATAATTACAGAGGCGGTAAAAGTGTCAAGCTATTTTATATTTAAAAAAAACGGTTGAGCATGGTAAAGTATAAAACAAAAATGACAATGAATGGGGAAAAATGTCAGAAAAATGGACTTGAATGAAAATGGCCGAAAGATGAAAAAGGCTTCAGAAATTGAAAAAACTGGGTGCTATTCTACCTTCAATCAATCAATTAATCAATAAGTTTGTAAAGCGCTATTTCCGCAATGTTCAACAGCGCTCCTTAGTGAATTTTGCAAACAGATGGGTCTGGAGATCCGCTCTGAACTTTGTAAGAGATGAAGAAGTAGTCAAAGAAGGAGGCCGAAAAATCCATAAAAAATGGCCAGAAAAAGCAAATGCAGATTTAGCAAAAGAGTGTTTAACAATCAAAGTTAAACAATAGACAACTGGGGCATTTAGGTTCAACTAAAATATCTGATAAGTACTTAGGAATCTAGATTTAGACTTATACACTAATGTGCAAATTTTAAAATTATTCTATATTATGCAATGCCAATGCTAGAAAACAATATATGGGGATATATGAGAAAAGAAAGGGGCACGAACAGCCAGACGAGCAGCAGAGTTAAAAGCTTTACTTGAAGGATAGAGTGTAGAATCAGGATGACCATAGTAGAGCGAGTTACAATAATCAATCCTAGATAAAACTAAAGAAGTAACAAGAAGGAGAAAAGTAGAATCGTCAAGGAAAGGCAAAAGTTTTTTTATTCTACATAGATGTAAGTAAGAACTTCTAACAACACTATTAATCTGAGAATCAAAGATAAAGCTACAACAGTCCCTATTAAAAGAAATCATTGATTAGTTGATCAATTAATTGATTGATTGAAAAATGTGAATTTTATCGATGATTTTTTAGAAACATCTCTCAAATCAAACTACAAATTTCTTAAGAATCTACATTTTATATCTAGTTAGAAATGGAATAATTTCAAGCCAAATAAAAATTCAAATAAAACAACAAAATCTTATGTGAATGATGGGAAATTGAACTTATTGGTGCAAAGTTTATCTTAAGATTTTGTTTGAACAGCTATAAAAAAAACTCAACCCTGTAAGGTATCAAGAGTAGCATCTCTCAATTTGGGTACATTCATTAATAAAGCCGCTTTTTCGCATTGTTTTCGACGTACTTCGTATTCTCCACTACTCAGTTCGTGTTTCACATTTGAATTTGTTACCAAAACTGAAACATTTTCACTTGGAAAGTTAATTAACTTCACATCCAGCGACCTGAGAAATATTGATAATAACATCTAACACACATTATATTTGTAGTTGATGATTGCAAAATGAAAAAAAAATCAATAATTAGAATTCGATACTTTATTTAATAAGTCAATCAATTGACTAATCATTTTTCATGTTCTAGTTGAATCGTACGACTAAATAAAGCTTCGGCATGACCCTTAAGATATTAAAGCATGCTCAGGTGCTGAACTTGGGGCTATAGCAATTTTTCTCCACCGAACCGTAAAGATTTATACATTAAAAAATTTTTGCAGATCAATTTGCATACGTTTACATAGTTTGTAAAATGCGTAGGAAAACACAGAATTTAACTAGCCCATTAAAGTGCGTACTTTCAAGTAAATCAATGCAAGTGTCAAAGATATGGAGAACGTGAAAAAAGTGCCATGAGTAAGCAGATCAGCAGGTGATAATCAAAAACCAGAGATAGAAAACCAATAGCGGAAAAAGTTATTTCCCTGAAAACAGGAAGTAAAATAAATTATACCTTCAAAAAGGATTTCAATGTCAAGATCGACATCAAAAATTACAATTGCTTAAAGTAATTTAAAATAACAAATATTATTTAAAATTTTAAAATATATAAACATACACCTACATATCAGGGTGTTGGAGTCGGATGAAAAATATTTGACACCAGACACAACTCAGGCCCCTTAAAAAGTCCGACTCTGACTTCCAGAAAACTTTTTCAACTTTTGCATCGTGATTTTACTTAAATATCACCACTAAATGAAAAATATTGGAAAAAAACACTTAACGATAACGATTAAAACTTAGAATTTAGTGGAAGCTTTTGAAGGCATCATAGGACAACCGAACAACGGAGCAGTTAATGGCACGAGATGTTATCACGCCATACATTTATTTATTTATTTATTACATTTTTTTTTACAATATTTTTCAGAGACATCAACAACAAACACACAGTGCATGTAGAGTAGACAAGTGAAACAAGGCATCAGACACATTGCATGTGATAGGCGGAGATGTTATCACGCCATACATTTATTTATTACATTTTTCTTTACAATATTTTTCAGAGACATCAACAACAAACACACAGTGCATGTAGAGTAGACAAGTGAAACAAGGCATCAGACACATTGCATGTGATAGGCGGGGATCTCCCTGCAATCGAATCATGTTACTGCAACACCAGTGCCAGTAAGCTCACCGTTACACTATCACACGGCCGAAGGAAATTTTCGAGAAATTTAATGAAAACACATGATCATTTCAAAAAATTGCAGCTTGATAATTGAAATTTAAGAATGTTTTCAAGAAATAACGTTAGAATAACACGATGCAAACTTTGAGAAATAAATTTTTAGCCCATTTGTTGTAAGTGTTAAACTAAATGGTATTATAAAAATATCAACAAATGTTCCAACGTTTCAAAAATTTAAAAGCAATTTTCAAGCAAATATTATAAAAACCATCATTCTTTTAATACTTAGATATTAATAACGTAAAAAATAAATAAAATGCAAAAATGTTAATGAGGTTAATTTAAAAAAATTTTTGTATAAACGAATTTTTACACTGGAACTGAAAAACAGTTAAACTACACTTCACTGCGCATGCTGAAAGGCGCAACATTTAAAAAAAATTAAACGACTGCCCAACTCGTTTGGTGGCATCAAAGTTGAAGATGATTGCGTATCGCTGCAGTGCAGTGCACTAGCAGGCAAGTGTCTTACTAGCCTAGCCGCCGCAATCAGAAAATAGAAAATTAAAGAAAACTCTTAATGAAAAAAAATCGAATTGTAAATAAAATAAAATGATATCTATCGAGGATTCACTTTGGCTTTGTTTACATTTTGTTTTTGTGGCCCTTTGTTTACATCCAATGTCCTAAATTTCATTGGTTTAATGTGTAAAAAACAAAACATGTCGTTGTTTCTATGTGCGTGTTTTACTTATTTTTTTTCAGTGCATTAAACTGTAATGTCAAAAATATTTTCTCATAAACCATCTCTCAAGTGTTCATAACAATTTCTCAAAGTTTCACTACGATCGGATGGGTGGTGTAGTAATACATGGACATAAAGGTCGGTCAGATGCACATATTTTCATAAGAAACTCTACTTTGATGTAGTTTTGTAAGAACATCATATGTTTTTGTGGGGTCATCATCAACACCGCATTGTCGGCTGAAGAATCGTTTGCAATGTTTACGTAGTATTTTTATCAGTATGGCAATGTTCTTGTGAAATCTTTATCGCTATTGCAACGAAATGAAATTTTTTTTAAAACTCTGCCAACGTCGTTTCCTTGAAATGATTATGTAAGACTAAAAACATAAAAATGTTGCGACAGATGGCCTAGAGATTGAAAATTGAATGAACTTTGAGATGCGCACTTGAAAATTTAAGTATCCTTTTTGCTAGCGGTAATTATACTGTTGTTACTATTATTGACAATATTATTATTTCTATATTACTATTATTTTTTTTTATTAAAATAACTTTGGTAATGATTTATTATTGTTTTTAATATTCCTGATTACTGTTTTTTTATTGAGATAAATTTTATAATTTTGTAAACCACAAAAAAACTTAATATGACGGAAATATTTGATTTGAAAATTTTTTACATTAATTGAAATGATTTAAAGTCAAAATCAAAAATAACAAACAAATGAATTAAATAAAAATTTTAAATCAATTGAATTCAAATTTTACCAAGCATAATACAACCTGCAATCCATTAACATGGCGTGATCCTTTTTTGCCATTGCTGATATCATTTGATCCATGATACCACAGGGAACGTTTGCAAATAGATGTTCAGATTTTTGACAAGTAAACGCTTTTGACTTCATATATTCCACGCTATTGACTTTAATTTCAAGCAAATGATCAACAAATGTGTGCATCGCCATCTCTAATGCAGCAGAACTTGAAAGGCCGCCACCACAGGGAACAGATGAAACAATGATAACATTGAAAGGTGGAATCTTATCTGCAAAAGTAAATTTGTGAACTTTTTAAATCAAAATCAAAATAATCGACGAGACGCTTTTTTGTTCAGCGTCTATGTCTAATATTATAATAAAAGTTTAAGTTTGAAAGGCAAAAAGCGAATGTCCCGAAAGATGGAAAGAAAGAATGAAAGTGCTGTGTCATTACATGTGAATAGGGCCTCAAATAATGTAGTACATATCCTCCCACCATAGCTAAGCTCAAAATATAAAAAGCACGCCGTTTAAAGGTGAGTGTTTGAATATGTTCACGGAAAGACAATAGACTCATATCGTCCGATGTGAGATGAAAACACAATATAGCTACTTTTTCGAAACACTAATAACAGTTTAAAAATTTAATAACTCCATCCAAAAATATGCTAAACAGACTAGTTTTATCGAACGTAAACTATAATTTAAAAATAGATGCCAGACGTATTAATGATTTTTTTAGTTTGAAGAAAAATATTTTGCTATAAATAAAGTTGTATATTATTTATAATTTTTAATATTTTTAATAGTTTTACATTTGTATTTTGATAGTATTTTTCCATTTTTATTCTTTTATTGTTGTATTTATGCCAAGCATTTTCCTTTTATTAGAATTTGAAGTTTGTAAAGAATTAATAAATAAAGAATTAAGAAAAATAATGTTTTTTGAACCTCTTAAAACAAAACCCTGGCTAGGCCTGTGTCCAACTTCAATGATTTTTGTGTATTTTTTAAAGTTCTTTTTAATACATTTGCGTTTTCTTTAACTGGGGCGTGTTTTTTTTATTTGAACTTTGTAATTGTTTTGAGAGCGCTTTTTGAAATTTGTATTAAATGAAGAGCTTTAAAATCTTTCAATATCAACAAAAACAAACAAAAAATAAAAATAATAGTATTATTAATAATAAATAATTATAATAATAATTGGTGTATATAAAGTACAAACTCATATTACAATACTTTAAATAACCTTTGTTAGGATGAAAAGCTAAAACTCCTTTGACATAATTTGCCCATTTAGGATAACCTGATACAAGAGCTTTTATTGAATCTACAGAAAATTCAATCATTTTAGGATCATCGACATCAGAGCACATTGTTACAATACAACACGTCGAATTTCGCGATCTCCCACCAACCATAACAGTAACTAATGGAATAGCCTTGTAAAAACAAATGATGTAGAGGAATTTTTAATTGAAAACAATTAATGATTAACTGTGTAATAAAAATTATAGCCACTTTTTCAGTGATTAACTGTGTAACAAAAATCTTGCAATGAATAAAAATTAGAAGCACAGGTGTAATAAAACCAAAATGTTGGAATAATTTCTGTAGCTTATTCTCAACAAGGAATATGTTTTTGCTGATTGTACTGAGAAAGTTGAGGCCTTATTTATATTCATTCAAATAATCAATTTTAATCGAAGATTTACAAGCTGGCATATTAAAATATTAAATGCAGTACTAAATTGCAGAACCACGTAAAATTTCAACGAACTTTATATACTCAATCTTTATATACTCATTTTTTATTATCTCAATCTGGTTTCAGACCTGCTCACAGTACTGAAACTTTTTTACTTAAAATACACAATGATATCCTTCTCTCTAGTGACAATAGTAATCTTACTCTTCTTCTTGCTCTTGACTTTTCCTCAGCTTTTGATACTGTTGACCATACTATTCTCTTGAGACTGCTGCATCTTTCTTTTAATATTACTGATTCTTGTCTATCTTGGTTTTCTTCTTATCTCTGTAATCGTTTTTCTTCTGTTGTTCTCAATAATTCTACTTCTAACTCCTCTACTCTTACTTTCGGGGTACCTCAGGGTTCTATCCTTGGCCCTCTTCTATTTATACTCTATACTTCTGAACTACCTCGTATTATTAATAACTTTTCTTTCTCTAGTCAACTATATGCAGATGATTCTTACATTTATACTTCTTTTCCTCCATCTAATCTCAATAGTGTTCTTCATAATTTATCTCTATGTCTTTCTTCAATTGTCGCTTGGTCTGACTCTATGTGTCTTAAACTTATTCCTTCTAAGTTTGAATTAATTTGTTTTAATAAATCTAAACACTCTATTACTATTCCTCCTATTATCTTACCTGATTTTAAAACTCTTGATGTCTCTCATAAGTTTCGTAGTCTAGGTTTTATCTTTGATTTTACTATGTATCTCTCTTCTCAGATTAATAGTGTTGCTAGAAGCTCTTACTTTCATCTACGTAGAATAAAAAAACTTTTGCCTTTTCTTGATGATCCTACTCTTCTCCTTCTTGTTACTTCGTTAGTCTTATCTAGGATTGATTATTGTAACTCGCTCTACTATGGTCTTCCTGACTCTATACTCTATCCTTTAAGTAAAGCTTTTAACTCTGCTGCTCGTCTAGTTGCTCGTGCCCCTTTCTTTTCTCATATATCTCCATATCTTGTTCTCTTGCACTGGCTACCTATAAAATATAGAATAATTTTTTAAATTTGCACGTTCATGTATAAGTCTCAATCTAAATTATTTTCTAAGTATTTATCAGATATATTAATTGAACCTAAACGCCCCGGTTTACGATCGTCTTCTTCTTCTTGCTTTTTCTTAACTCGTGTTAAACACTCTTTTGCCAAATCTGCTTTTGCTTTTTCTGGTCCTTTTCTCTGGAACTCTCTACCTACTTCTCTGACTACTTCTCCATCACTTGCGAAGTTCAGAGCGGATCTCAAGACCCATCTGTTTTCAAAATTCATTGAGGAGCGCTGTTGAACATCGCGGAAATAGCGCTTTATAAGCTTATTGATTGATTGATTGATTGATTGATTGATTGATTGATACTCATTCTCAAAAATATTTTTACTGGAAAATATGGGTTAATTCTTAATTCAGGAAATTTAAAACGAAAAAACGCTATTAACAAAATGCAACTCTTAACCTGGTGAGTGAAATAATTAATTAAATAATGGTGCTAAACGTTAACTTAAAAGGCTCCCTCGTGAAAAACGGTCTACATAATTTACTAATTGTTGATTAAATCAACTTTTTTCGAACTCATGGTAACTTGATGGTATCCAGATTAAAAATATCTGCAACAAGTCAATCGAACCGCATCTACAAATGTTTTAAATTTAAGAATTCTAAGTTTGTTTTTTATGGTTTTGTCACTCATTTTCAGTCTGCTTCCAACAACTTTCTACAGAACTGCACTTCAAAGGTTTTAGATCTGTTTTTGTCTCCCTTCTTTGTTCATAAATTTTCGCATGAAGACAGTGGTGTAGAAAACGAACCGGTTTCTATTATATTTAGTTTTGATTTACATTACCATTTTTCAAAAATGCAAACATTTCTCTTGCAATATCTATTATTTTGAGAAAATGTTGTCGCTTATATAAGACTGATCATGTAGACAAACTAGTAGACACTATTACTTATTATACAACAATTTAGAACAATATTTGAAGTCTAAAAATCAAAAATTTTAATGATAAAAATGGTATTTTATTTGACAATTTTACAGTTTAAAAAAGATTCTACAAAAATATCACCATAGATGAATACTAACTCTAATCTAGAGTTAATGTTTATCTAGATTTCAAAACGTTTAAACGGTTTAAACTTTACACTTATTCACTTTTGAACCATCCGAACGTTAATTGATAGTACTATAAACATATATAGGTGATGTTTCTCTCGAAGTCTTATTTTGAGCAATTCAGGAAATTAAACTTGGTTAAGAAGTTTCTACCATCTGACTGAGATGTTGTGTTCTCTGATTCTTTGATATCCGTTTTATAAAGATAAGATTATGGTAACTTGCCATAATCTTCTCTTTATAAGGCGAGGAAAAACGCAAGGGTGCACATGGAGTGGTTTTAGATGTAAAACAATGATGTTTCGCAAGAGAAGCCACGGCATTTATCACGAATCTAGTAATTTATATTGTACGCAGCGGTAATTACCATCGAGACTAAGTAAAAAAGGATGTCAACGCATTTTACTGCGGACCCAGCAACTTTGCGTGAATATATATGGTATCTACCGTGGACGAAGTAAAAAAAAGTCGCGGCATTTATTTGCCGTGTCTTTAGAAAATTTTCTTAATATATGCAGCGATATTAACCGCCGACAAAGTGAATAGAGATATGATGCGGTATTCACAGCGGACGTCGTGGTTTTCAAAATGTACGAAGCGCTATTAGCCGCAGACCATGTCTCGTGCATATTAATGTTAACAAGTTTTGACATCAAGAACGGAATTAACGAAAATACATCAAGTCGTTGAGGAACAAACGGAGACTTAACGACAAACAATTGGGCAGTTATTATTTATATGGCGTTGCAAAGTGCGCCAGATGGGTGTGTGTGTGTGTGTGGTGTGTGTGTGGTGTTTTTGTATGCATGATTCAGTGTTTACAATAAAATACGTGGCTCCGTAAAATCACGTGACTCACGGTCGCGAGTAGTAACGTTGTGCACTCAGGAAGTGCTCTTATTTTTAAAGTTTAATTTATAAATTTATAGAAATAATTACCATTGGAAATACAAATCCATCGTTGTAATCTGTGTGTTCCCCAATTAGGTTCACTCTGCCCGGGGCAAATGTAGCCAATTCAGCATCTGATCTGAAAAATTTTTTGTATTCTTTCGAACCGATTTCGACCAATCCCTCTAAGGACATGTTCGACTGCATCGTAAATAATGCAATAATCCAACCTGAATTGGGGAATGAACCTACGAAACTTTAAGCAAGATGTTTCAATGTTTTAAAACTCAGCTACGACAACATGTTATTAACAGCCTATATATTAACCTATGCCGAGAGAGATAGGAGCTAAAATATGAGAGCCTATAAAGATTGTATACTATATATATATACATACTGTTACATATATATATATTTCTATGTTTATTTTGAATAATAAATTAAGATTAAATACAAGTTTATATTTTTAATAGTTTGATGTTACATTTATGAAACAAATTATCATAGAAACAAACACTAATGAAAGCTATTTTGGGCTGAATTGTAGATTTGCATTGATAACGTTTGTGTTTGTGTAGGTATTTTAAGTATATGGTTATATTCGGTGAGCCAGCAATTAGTCGCATATTAAAAAGGTAAAAAATTATAACAATAATAGTTGAAGGTTAAAGTCTATCACATTCTTCCTAAAATATTTATGTTATATCTGTTTACGTTAACTTATTATACATAGAAAAAATAATTATAACATAATAAAATTATAATATAATTTTTTGATATACATTTAATCGTTTGTACATTAAATACATTTTTTATACTGTCATGTTTGGTTTTTGGCAACTTTTGCAATAATGTCTTAAATTTTTAACGCCTATGTAATTTTGTTATAGTATTTGAATTTTTTTACATTTACACACATGAAAAAAATGTAAATCTTGTAAAACACTTATTGATAAAATAATGCTTTGTGTGCATTTCATTAAACTGTAAAGCGTATTTTGATTAATTAAAATTACAAATCCTGTTTTTATTTGCAGTTATTGATTGCAAGAAATTTAGCCGCTATCAGTAAAGAGGAACAAGTTAAAAAAATTCAAAGCAACGCTCATATACAATGTAAAATAATAATTATGACGTTTTCATATTTTTATTCGTTATTAAAAAAAACTCAGACATTCAGACCCCTACCGTCACTCAGATATTCAACCAACTCGATTCAAGACTGTTCAAGAAAATAGAAAATAACAACAACTACGTCATCCATCCTCTACTACCATCAATTAAAAATACAACACACAACCTTTGACAACGCAAACATAACTATCAAGTCGCCACACAATCAGGAAAAGACTTTCATAACATGACACCTCAAACATATTAACACTCAACAAAACTTTATCATTCACACAACTAGTTTTTATTTATCTAGTCTATTAATTTACGTTTTTATGCCATTACTTCATTTTATTTTCCTTTATTTATTTTATCATTATTATTTATTTTATTTTTTCTTTCTTCGTTTTTTTATTTACTTATTCGTTTAATTTTGTACTACTGCCTTGCATGCTATAACAGTTTCTGCGTCTGTCAGATCCTGATTTTTAATGAATAATAATAATAAAAAAGAATCAACATTTAAAACTAAGTAATGTAAATATTTCAATTTTTCATCAGGTCAGTTCATTTTAAATTTAGAAAAAAAAACAAACACTTTAAACCATACAGCGCCACCATCATAAAGTTAATTTTAATGTCAGGTAAATGATACATTCTCATTGAAGATGAGCAAGTATACACAATTTTATTTTGATCGGTTAATGGGAAAATATTGAAAAATTTGATTACCAGATTTCTAAAAAATAAACGAATAAACAAATATATTTAGTGGTTCGAAGCCTGGTGAAGATGAAGATTTAAAAAAAAATATTAAAAATGAAAATTATTGAATATCAGAAAAAACTTAAATGATTCCAATCGTCGATATATTTCCTTTGCCTTTGTTGTGGCCGTCACCGTGGCGATCATGCATTGAGTTACTAACCGTCTTTTTGGGAGGACAAATCCTCTTTTTAACAGGATTGTCCTTCGAATAAGATTTGATTCAAAAAATTTCCCACTTTATTCCGGTTTTAGAAAAAATTCTGAACTGATGCCAAAAGTTAAAAAATTTAAAAAATTAATATATAAAACTGTGTATGCTATCCCAGTTGATTGGTTTGATCAATATTTAGATCAATGGCGTAGACAGTTCGCGAGTTTTCTCTCAAGCGTTCGCTCGTCGTTTATTATTTTTAATTTATTATAATAAATTTTAAAAACTATTAAGTACAGAAACATTTGCAAGGGTTTGACCAAGATTTTACCAAACCAGTTATTTTCTTTGCCAAAAGTGAGGGTTTTCAACAATTTTTTCGATTGTTAGAAGCTAACTTTACCATCAAAATAAAAAGAGATACAAAAAAATTATTGTGTGAGATTTTCACAAATCATTATTTTTTTATCAGTTGCATATAAAAACTGGAAAGTCGATGCTGTAGTTCCTTTTTCGTTGAACAAACTTTATAAAAACAGAATTGGAGGAAGTTTGGCATTCTACATAAAAAGAGATACCAAATTCATGCACAGAGGACTTAGTTGGTAAGTAAATATTGATGATCCAAATAGCGATAGCAAAAAATGGAAATTGATGCAATAGAAAGGTTAACTGGCAAAAAACTGTATTTGTATAAACATTTATAAATCTCATAACATGAAAAAAATTTTTTTATTTTTTGAGCAAGTTATTACAACTGACATTAAAAGAAAAAATAACATTTTCAACAAATGGCCTAAATGTAGACATACAAACATCAAATCAAAATGCAAAAAATTTACTAGACATTTAAATTTTTTTTCAATATTCCCAGCGATAAACCTGCCAACCAGAGAAACTTGCACATCAACGGACAACATTTTCACTAACAATCTGGATGAATTTTTCGGCGCTGCAATATTTGTAGACATATCATAGATAACTACCCAATTTCTGTTTTGCGACGATTTAATGTATACAATATGCAAAATGGCAATAAAAATATTTTTTTGCACAATTTCTTGTCAAAAAAGATAGACAGACTAGTAACAGCTTTGCATCAGCATAATTGGGATGATAAACGTAATAATGAGAATGATTGAAACAGATCCTTTAATTTATTTTTAGCGGTGTAAAGTCCATAAGCAAAATAGGTCAAAAATAGTGAAAAATAATCACCCGTGGAATACGAGTTACATCAAACAGCTAATCAAAAAAGAATAGTTTAATAATAAATTAAATAAAAATTATTGAATACTAAAAAACAAACAGATTTTAAAATACAGTAAAAAAATCATTATGAAAAATTATTTAAATCATGTAATAATGACATCAAGTCAATATGGAAAATTCTAAAAAGTTTAAAAGTAAGGCAATAAAAAACCCGCCTATTTACTACAATAATGAAATCATTATCAGATTTTGAAAAAGCATTTGATTAAGTTTCTCATGTTAAGTTGATTGATAAATTGAATGAATATGGAATAAATGGTATATGGTTAGTCCTTGGGTAAGTAATTATTTTTACGATAGAAGGTTTCGTGAAGAGTGAATAATAGTTTGTTTGAATATTATTTGGTTAAAAGTGGAGCCCCACAGGGTAGTGTCCTGGGACCCATTTTGTTTTTAATTTATGTAAATGATTTGTTAGATTTATACGGTGATGAAATTGGCTTAGATATATTGTTGTATGCTGATGATGCTAAGATATTTAAGGTTATAAGGTCTGAAGATGATAGAAGCGTCTTGCAAAATGGTATAAATATGTTGAATGATTGGTGCACTATAAATGAGGTAAAATTGAATGTTGAGAAGTGTGTTATGATGACTTATGTGTGAATGCACATAATTTGTCTTTTATGAATAGTGTTAATGATTTGGGAGTTATATTTGATCGGTCATTAAAATTTATAGTACATATCCACAATATCATTAATCGGGCTTTTTCAATTTTGGGCATTATAGATAGACATTTCAAATATATTAATATAAAATCATTTATACTGTTGTATAAATCACCAGTCAGGCCACAGATGGAATATGCAGCAGCAGTGTGGTATCCTTATACCCTACGTGAGATTGAAGCGATAGAGCAAGTTCAGAGAAGGGCAACCATAATGGTGAGGGAATGTTCTCAGATGAAATATGCAGATTGATTGAGGTACCTAAAACTGCCAACATTAAAATACAGAAGAGTACGTGGTGATTTGATCATGCTATACCATGCAATGCATGCAAAGGATAGAAGAGTATTTCCCTATATACCAAGAGCAGATCATCGTACAAGAGGTCATAGTCTGAGAATCAACACTTTGCCATTTAGTAGCAATTTGAGAAAAAACTATTGGTACATTAGAATATTAAACATTTAGAATGGTTTGAATGAGGATGTTGTTAACGCTTGTGGAGTAAATGGGTTTAAAAAATGTTGGATGGTGCCTTGATGAATGTTGATTATATATTTGATTGGAAAGCTGACATTCGTTTATAGATTTGTTTGACTGTTAATTAATAATGTTTTTTTAATCATTATTTATGTTTTTATTCTTATCTATTATTTTTATTTATTATTAAACATTTAGAACGGTTTGAATAAGGATGTTGTTAACGCTTGTGGAGTAAATGGGTTTAGACATTTATTATTATTTTATATTTTAATTGATTTACGTTAAAATGATGTTATACAATTTATATTTATTGAAGTGGGCTCAGGGACATTATGTTTTTGCCCATTTTTGTTCTTGATAATTATTGATGATTCTAAAAACAGGCAGATATCTTTAGTAGCTATTTTAGTAAGCTTTTTATAAACAAAACTGTCGACGTCCAAAATGAATTTCGATCCATTAAAATCCAACCAAAAATCGCTTCTTTTTTAACTTTTGAACCTATTTGGAAGAGCTACTACTATACACTAAAAAATAATCAAACTCAACATATTTATGCAATAACCATCCATCAATCAATCGATCAATCAATCAATCAATCGATCCATCCATCCATCACTCCATCTATCCATCCATCCATCACTTCATCTATCCATCCATCCATCCATCCATCCATCCATCCATCCATCCATCCATCCATCCATTAATCCATCCATTAATCCATCCATCCATCTATC